TTCAATCGCTATATACGTGGCGTTGATATTCCATACACGGAATTTATTATAGTAATATACAAAAATACTGCACCATAGAACGATGCTTGGTAATTTTAACCCTATTATGTCGATGTCTGCAGGTTTCGCCAGACTACAATATTCAAGATGTACTTAGTTGTTACGGTCTTCAAAGTAAAGTCAAACGGTATTTAACACTACAAACCATAGATATTAGGAATTAGTAGCATTTAAGACGCATAAATACGTGTACGAAACAATATTTGACAACAATTGATCTCTATTTGTAAAGTTGGTGTACAAATATTTGAATGAATATCGCATCGTTGTCATGGACACATGTCATGTTACCGGGCGTGCGATATTATGAACGAACAATGGCACGTCCAGTCACACGCGTTCGACCTGAACTCCCTCAATACTTGCATACACGTGTATACAGACGATCTGTACGATGCAATCTTAGCAATGCTCACCAGAATATCGAGGTGTCCAAAGTGTTTCACAGTGGATTCAACAATGTTAACACAAACTTCGTCTATAGTGATATCACCAGGTACACACAATATCTGTGATAAAAAGACATGTGTTGATAATATAAACGTACATCATAGTGATAGGAAAAACTCAAAAAGACAAATAAATAAATAAATAAATAAATAAATAAATAAATAAATAAATAAATAAATAAATAAATAAATAAATAAATAAATAAATAAATAAATAAATAAATAAATAAATAAATAAATAAACGATGGTACTAAATATACGTAGACAATGAGGCAAAACATGACTGAATATATGATATGACTGATATATACTGAATTTAGGTAATCATCAGTTTTTCAGGTTTTGTTACGTAAGTATATTACCCCGAATACTTTATATATACATTATATTTATATTTTTATATATTTATACATTATTTGGGGAAAAGTCATTATTATATAACTATAGCATGTTGTATTGCGATACGTTATGCAGTTTGAAATACTTGCAATGATTTACAAACTGGTTATGTTACCTTGTCTTTTGACAATCCGTTTTTCTCACACTCTTTGGAAACCGCTTCCATTTTCGTGACATCTCTTCCTCCAATTGCGAGATAGCAACCGAGCGATGCAAAATGAGCGGCGATAGCAGCTCCTATGCCGCTACTTGCACCTGAAATATCATATATTGCGTTAAAATAATAGAGGAACAGTATAGTACGAGAGAACGTCGTCACATCAAAACAACATCCAAACTATGATTAAACTACTTTGGCTCTGGAAATAGTATTTTACCATACATTACTATTATAAGTCTTGTTCAAATGCACATTTTGTTTACTAAGTACATGCGTTTTTTTACTAAGTACATACTGAATATCATAGTTTCTTTAAATTTAAAATGTCAGGCATCGTGTCTGATACTATATGACCTATGACCAATGACGATGATATATTCTACAAGAGTGGCTGTTTTAGCTACCATTATTGCAATATTGCAAACATAGAAATCAATATAGAAAGTTTAAAAATAACTACAGTATCCTTCTGCTGTGGGAATAGAATTGAGGAAATGGGATATACATGAAATATAGTAATTAAACAATAAAAAAATGACTAACCGATTAAACAGGTTTACAATGCGTAGGCATAATGAACAATATAATCTTTTCAGCTGTTATCCAATGTTTTAAATGAATGTTTTGCAAAAAGAAAAATAACACTGTCAATAGAATCAAATATGCATATCATCTCAGAGTGTTTATATTCTAATTTGTGTTTCATTTGGATATAATGTTAATTGTTGCGTAAATTATTCTTATTAAAATTATTACACCCAGCAACGATAAACTAATTGTCACTGGATTTCAATAGACTTATCATTATGTGACGTGTAAATACAGCAATTGCTTACATGTAGAGTTTATGTTAAAGAATATGCAAATTAAGTCAGTTATCCCAAGTTTCCGAGTCACTGAAATGCGATAAACAGTATTTGTGACATGCAACGCTCAAGATAATCTTCGATAAATTGAAATATATTCACAGATGGTAACATTTTGGTTCAGAATATATAATCCAATACTCCCGAAATAATGTTTTAAAACAATGACATTAATATAGGGACAGAAGAAATACGAGATCATAAATACGAGACAATTTTTTTTATATTCTGATTATGTAATATTATATTTCATTTATCGTTGGTCGAAATTTAATGTGCACAATTCATTTGATACGTAATCTCAGTTTATTTTCCAAAACCAAGTTGTGGGTAAACATTCCACTGACATTTGCATAACTATGCTAAAAATATGGATATGCTCTACATACTTAATGAAGACGTTTAACATAACAAATGTCTTTAATAAATTAGCTGCGGTTACGCCATTTTGCTCAACTCAATACTCACTCTTGTTGAATTAGTTTTGTCAATTTCTTGGTGAAGGTTTACCGTCCTAGTAGATCAAATACTTGTAAATTTACAAAGTAACACACGCATATATATATTGGAAAGTTACTGATTGGATGGTATCTATGATACGGCATGTGACCGGATTAAACGGACACGTGTACAATAATTGGTGGAGCCCACTGATTGGGTGGCACCTAGGAGCATGTGCCGATTGGTGAATTGGGACAACACTCGGTGTGCATATAATTGTGCAGGGACCAGTGTCAGTGTTGTGTGATGTTACACATGGCTGATTTTTCATGTGACTTTTGTGTTATGCATTCGTGTTGAATCTAGCCTCCGGGAAGGTGTATGTTTTATGTCGGTGAAATTTCAACGCCTATGTATCTACATGTGGCTGCAACTGCTTTAAATGACTGTCACCACGTACCATATTACGTCCAGAGGCAACCACACTAACTGCGTTTCCGCCAGTTTATTTTGTCGATTTTGTTTCTTACCTATTACCCTAGCTGTATAAATTTATGAAAGCTGTCTACCTTCGTAAGTGTTGCACTTTTGAAATTTTTAATGCAAGCGCTCATACCTTAGATTGTTCTGTACATTGTCGCTTAATTTGAGGAAAGGGAGGGGAGAACTGACTGTAGAAATGCAAAGACGGGAAACCGAGGTAATTAGAGAGATAGAGCCATTGAAATGAGATTGAAAAATTAAAATTGAATAGGCAAATCCGCCAACCCACTTTTCTGCTAATATTAAAAAATAACCAGATTATATGGAGGGAGAGGATAAGGTAACGTTGAACATGTAAACCGTCTTGAAGTATTTGTTACTGTTTGTAAATTGACTGAGGAAGGGTATAATTAGGGAAAGCCTGCCAAACATGAAACCAAGAACAAATATGTAACCAGGTTGAGCAGTCACTAAAAGCTCTGCTCCAAATAATTATGTTGGGACACAGTCAATGGATGAAATAAAATATTAAAGTGATGATGACAGTCTACTTTGACTATCCAAGCCCTACAGATGAAATAATAAGTGTGAATACTAATTCTGCAAGAGGGCCTACAAGCCCGTGTTAAAAGCTGTAGCTAAATCGGACTATGTAGTAACAGTGCTTATCCTCGGGGGCGGACATCCGGGCATTTTCACCGCCTGGCAACCCGCGGCGGTGAAAACAAAGGCCCAAAACTCGCAGAAAACGGTACTTTGGGATGACTGTTGAGACTCCTATAAATTTGGTTGTTCGGGATTACTTCAAAGTTGAGTTTGTGTTGTTTTCTCGAATTTTCACCGGCTCGACCGGTGTTCCACAGCAGCGCCCACAGAGCCCATAGAAATGCATGTACAGTGGTGCGCGTCGTAGCAACGTGGAACGTCTTGTGACGTAGCTCCGCCCCCGAGGATAGATTCGAGATGTAGTATGGTTGTAATCAGTGATGATTTGGTCATTCTTAATCAATACACTACAGTGCAAGTATGTCTTATAGAATGGTACATGTTTATAATCAAAATTTGGCCATCTTATTTATGACATTCATACTATGCGGGTCGTGTATGGGCAGTTTGTAGAAGGGAGCCACTATATGATTCAATCATTGGGAACATCATATGTTTCGACCTTTCGAAACTATTAAGGCTGAGAAGGGGTCAGTAAAGGGGAAGGGGAAGAACTATATCCCAGTGAAAGACCACCCATATAAGAAAGGTCCATATGCACATATAGGTAAGCTCGAAGGTTGTGATTCCACTAGAGATTCATTTATTGTAGAGAATAAAAACCATATTCCCTAAAAGTTTACCCACTCACTTAAGGTTTAGCTCATTTCTTCTCCTGTACCTTGAAGTGCCCATTCGAGGACTCGCTCCATTGAAATGGCATTGGAAAATTTGAATTTACAGACCCAATCTGCTACTGTGTGTCCCTGGATTTAGCATGGATGGTATTCCAATTAACAGTGCCCAACAAATGGACTGAAGACCGGAGTTTCACAGCTTACCCGACTAGCATGTATTCAAACAATCGATTTATATTCATGAAGTCAACTTTTGTGTGTTCGAGGTTATTTGGTTTTACCTTCAATTGATTCGTGTCCTATTTACCTTATTGCGATTGTGTTTTGTTTCTACCAAATTGTGAAATATCGGTGACATTTGGAATATATTGTACATCTTTCGATATGTGGTGTTATGAAGTGTAATGCGACAGATCGCTCGCTTTAGATCTGCTTACGAGTGCATATACGGCTCATTATGATTTGCTTAATAGGTCAGTGGATACCTCGCTTGTAGGGCTACCGGCGTGTGTTGAACCGACCATGGAGGTAAAATACCTCCATGAACCGACATTGAAAACACATTGAAAATGTATTAGTGCGTGGCACAATACGTCTTACTACCCTAAGACAATTCAAAGATGGTGGTTTTGAGAAAATGTACGACATGTTTTAAATGCAAGATCTAATAGCAGTACTGTACCTGTAACGAGGGCTACCTTTCCTTGTAAGGAACTCATCTTATATCTGTTCACACTCACGGTGTAGGAATAGACTGACAAGGTCATGAGAGTTGAAAGGTTAACTTAGGAGTGGAGCATTTGCTAACTTGAACTCGGGGGAGACAATGCAAATTGAATGAGGCAATGTTTTGTTTTATTTGAATTGACTATATGCGAATCCATTGTGGCTGGAAATATTTGTCACGATGAAGCTGGTTTGAAAACTTGTTTGGTCTATAATGCGAAATTAAATTCCTTAGTAGTAGTAACAGTAGTAACAAGAATTCAAATTTCTTCTCGAAATAAAGAATGTGTATACATTATTCCCAAATATTTGTTTTTATTTATTTTTTCACATTTAATTGTTTAATTTAGTTTCTTAGTTATATATCATAATTTTCAATTTTTCAATTCTGAGTTTGGATGTCGATTTAATATAGTTGATAACTGAATTCTGCGTTATGGGTCGGATTAGTATGGCTGATAACTCAATTCTGTGTTAGGGGGTCGTATTAGTATAGTTGATAACTCAATTCTGTGTTAGGGGGTCGTATTAGTATAGTTGATAACTCAATTCTGTGTTAGGGGGTCGGATTAGTACAGTTGATAACTCAATTCTGAGTTAGGGGTCAGATTAGTACAGTTGATAACTCAATTCTGAGTTAGAGGTCGGATTAGTATAGTTGATAACTCAATTCTGCGTTAGGGCGTCGGATTAGTATAGTTGATAACTCAATTCTAAGTTAGGGGTCGAATTAGTATAGTTGATAACTCAATTCTGAGTTAGGGGTCGGATTAGTATAGTTGATAACTGAATTCTGATTTAGGGGTCAGATTATTATAGCTGATAACTGAATTCTGAGTTAGGGGTCGGATTATTATAGTTGATAACTCAATTCTGAGTTAGGGGTCGGATTAGTATAATTGATAACTCAATTCCGAGTTAGGGGTCGGATTAGTACAGTTGATAACTCAATTCTGCGTTAGAGGGTCGGATTAGTATAGTTGATAACTCATTTCTGCGTTAGGGGTCGGATTAGTATAGTTAATAACTCAATCCTGCGTTAGGGGGTCGGATTAGTATAGTTGATAACTCAATTATGCGTTAGGGACGGATTAGCATAGTTAATAACTCAATTCTGAGTTAGGGGTCGGATTAGTATAGCTGATAACTCAATTCTGAGTTAGGGGTCGGATTAGTATAGTTGATAACTCAATTCTGAGTTAGGGGGTCGGATTAGTATAGTTGATAACTCAATTCTGAGTTAGGGGTCGGATTAGTATAGTTGATAACTCAATTCTGAGTTAGGGGTCGGATTAGTATAGTTCATAACTCAATTCTGAGTTAGGGGTCGGATTATTATAGTTGATAACTCAATTCTGAGTTAGGGGTTGGATTATCATAGTTGATAACTCAATTCTGAGTTAGGGGTCGGACTAGTATAGTTCATAACTCAATCGTTATCCAATAATTCTTTCCTTTAATTTGTTTGCAAGAAATAATAAATGTATAGTATAATTATAATAATAATACATAAATAAACGTAAATATAATGCTCTACACATCTCCGGTCTACATAATAAATAATTTGTTGTATTACTATTTCCTTTCTATAATAATCGGAAAAGTTTATACCATGTCTTAAATACATTGAAATTCAAGCGTTTTGTGTGACCACCGTGATACGTCCGTAAAATTCTAATATTTAGAAAATAGATTTTAATAATATGTATAACTGACAAAAACAGTTAAGCCTTAAAACACACACATCCTTTAAAACAAAATAAATATTATATTTTAAAAAACAATTCATAAGTAGACACATTCTTCCCCTTTTACTGAAACCAGTCATTATGTAGCACAGACGTAACTTTCATGTAACATCCAGGTACCTGTTCAAACAAATACTTTATATATTGTGATAGTCTAATTGGTGCGATTCCCGATAGAATGTTTCCACTCAATAATGGACAGTTGTCGAGTTCATTTCGTGGCAAAATGTTATTGAAGACCGTCTTGGATTTATTAACGTTACATTTACTTTGATCCTCAGAAACATCCTGCCCAGGTGCGGCTTTAATTCTGCATATATCAATGCGTTTCATAGCAGGCAACGATGACACAATCGCCGTTTTTTCCCTTTCATTCGCATTTATCAAAGCAAGTTTGCACAATTTACATTTTCTTGATTCCCCGGAAATATGTAATTCAAGTTCACATTTACAATTAGCAGCATGGGTGGACGTTGTAGACTGTGTCGCTATGACTTCTGGGATATATATGTCACGGTCTACGTTAACGTTTAACTGTTCTCGGCATATCTTGGGATGTCTGGCTACTAATCGACATCGAACGCTGTGTTCAGACTTCACAGTTATTGTTTTTACGATATTTGGAATCTCATTCCTATGATTGTTAACTTGATTGTCAAGGTCATTTTCCCACTTCATGGTAGCTCTGGGTTCTGCGTCTAAAACAAATAAATAGGTATATGGCAATTAATACGAAACATCTTTTTCAAAAATGGGTTGTAATGCAGGGTAAAGTCATTGATAAATTATGAGTACGTCTTTTTCACTACCATTATACCAATATAATTGCACACAGTGCAGCAAACTCATAGTAGCTGCTAACAGAGGTAGTAAAGCAAGGAAATGATATATAGTATGTGGAAATTGTTAATCTGCAATCCTGAAAATGTATTTTATGGTCTATTAAATGTACTACTATCACAGGTAACAAGAGATAACTATTGTCAAACTATTATTGTAACTCGCAAAAATGACAACTATTGGCAGACTACTGCTGTCACGAGTGACAAATTACTATAGTAATTTGAAAAAAAGTGAAAACTACCACTAGTAAAAAGTGACAAAACTACTACCATCACTAGTAAAAAGTGGCAACTACTGTCAAACTATTACTGTCACTGGTAACAAGTGACAACTATTGGCAATATATTATTGTCACTCGTAACCATTGGCAAACTTCTACCGTCGTTGTATTGTTCACTGACACTGATTATCACTGTTATCGGAACACTTTAAAATATAAAATAAGCAAAATAATATTAATCTCGAGCGAATGTAAATATACCAACATGTGCATACTTTTATTTTGCAGCAATTATTTCCAGCAAACTTTTCAATTTTATTTTGTCTTTATTATTCAAAGACAAATCACTATATTATCAGGGGGAAAATCTTCTCTCTACAGGGTTCTCCACACTTGTCAGGGGGGGAACTCGTCTCGTCTCTATATCTCGTCCCCTTGAGGTACGGGATCGGGAAAGTCACTTATACTTTACAGTCAAATAAGACACACACAACGAAATACGTTTCAGCTCTCGTCTTAGTCGATCTTTCGAGCACTCTATAAGACACGGCGCCCTGGGGAAAAAATCCCCAAGACTCTCGCAAGGCTGACCCAAGACTAGCCCAAGACTGGACTGCCTCAAGGCTCGCCCCTGGACTCTCTCGGACTCTCGACTCGACTCGACTCAACTGCGTCTATCGTGGAGTATTCGCCAAGACCAACTCAAACTCTCTTTATTCATTTTCAAAACTCTAACCAATTACAAAGCAGTAAAAAGACTCTAAGGCGTAAACTTCAATCATAAAGCCAATCACACTAAGTACTGAATACGTCATATCTTTTGATTAATCGTTCACTACATTAATAACTATGAATATAAACTGTCAGAATGAGTAGTCTAAAAGCGGTGGTTATCTGGTAATTAGTTCCAAATCACTGAGCCAAGTTCCGTCCAAAACTTCAAATAGGCCTACACGATGACAGACATAACACAGCAATTCGCTAATAATCAGTTAATCAAGTCGACCAACAGATACGCGAAAACAAATTCATTACAATATCTTGAGATAGATCTATACAATTCTCCTAGTCAACAGCAATTTTGCCAAGGTACACATAACGAGTGTGTAAATGCATAACAATGTGTTTCTAAGACAATGCTTATGTAACAATATTCTAACTTGTATTTCCAAGTGCAGGTTGTGAAAGTATGCACTATAAACCTTGAGCATGCAACTTATACCACGATCTTTGTTGCTCAGAAGCAACAATCAGAAAGAGGCATAAATTGTAAAATTTCGGTGCACTATAAACACCATGATACCCTTACTCTTGGCAATAGGTCCTGGGAAACAACGAGCCTACTCTCTGGGCGATGTCGCCGGTGATGTAACTATTGTGTTTTACGACGATATTTAGAATTGAAACAAAATGATAAAGTGTAAGAGGGAGTGTTTACCTTTACTGCACTGGACATCCATTGTAAATGTTTTATACTGAAACTGTAACAGACAAAAGGTGCGCTGCTGCGGTGTGTACACGTGAACGATCGGCAAAAAATGTCAGGAGACGAGGAATCCCACTAACAATGGCTAGTTCTAAAGTCGCTAAGCTACGGCGTCGAACGAACGCGCTTTATGACGTCATATCGAACATCACCCATAGCGCTCTCGCAGACTTCGTTTTTGTGGACGCGGCGATTGAGTGCTATATCTTTTTCAAAATACGCTGATATGTGGAAATTGTTAGTTATTATTCAAACTAACCAACGCATTGATCGAAAGAACGCTAATAGGTCACCTGGTGTAAACATAGATCTCGTTCGGCTTTATTTCACATTGTATAGCATGAATTTGTCGTTATCTTCGGAGTCGCCTGTATCCCGTTCGTACTCGCCCTCTATCGTCATATGTCACTCAGACTTTCAGAGTTTCAGAGAAGGTGGTCTAGTACCGTTTTTCATTTCATGTACAACGTAAATCCTACCATCCGTTGCAAGTAACACCCGAGCAGGAGAGCGCCACCACCGTGAATGTCTTCAGACTAAAAATCGTTTGTTTGTAATGGAACACCGGCGAAACCCTACACATTTGTTTTCAAAAAAACAACAAATATATTATGGTAATTAATTCTATTTAATTAAGAGGGGTGGCTTGCCCATTTCGTTCGCGAATGAGTCATCCAGAGGTTTGAATTTGAACTTGCTCAAGGAGATGAAGAAACATTTCTATTACGTATCGATAGATGGCGCATTGAAGCTACACAAAAGATCATATTAAACTCGGTGAGTATTTGTATAACTGATCAGTCAGATAATGTAGACCAGTGACCATGATATTATGTCTAGACGTGCAAAATACCACTCAGTTAAAGTTTACTATTAAAGTAGGTGAGGTCGTGTTATCTCCACATACGTGATATCAGATGAAACCATCAATCATTGTATTTATATCTCTACAAAGTCCAGCAGTCACGTGACATATTACTATATATTAGACACAGTCACTCATTACTATATTTTATTATTTTTCCCGATTGTCCGATCGTTATGCAATCAGCTGACTTTTAGCCAATCACCGATGGTGTTACAAGGCGTATGCTAGGGACCCCTGTTACGCGATTTCGACACTGATATCGGTAGAAACTGTCGGAATACTTGTGAAATTACGGTTTTGAACGAAATCCACTTGGTGGTTGAACAGAATAGTTATTAATGTATCCCCAGACATTAATTTTATATTTTTATTTTACAATTACAATAGTATTATAGTAATAGCGAATGGAGAAAATGAGAAAAAATAATAACATAGTACTGATTATTTTGATTTTCAGACCCCAAGTGACTGTGGTATTAGACGTAGATTGTACTGCGCAGTTTTTAAAGACTGTGGCGGTTTTAACGAATTACACAAAATGCTTCGGCAGTCAAGCTATTGGTACCTTCAAGCGTTCCATGGTAAGCCACCCAGAACACGTGAATTTATTAATTTGCTCGCCATAATCTCCCCCCCCCCTAAGAAAAAAAATGGCTGCAATTCTGATTGCCTAAAGGCCCTGATTAATGAATACAGTTAGAATGTATACAACAATTACTGGTGAGTGGTTGTTTTGTGTAAAATGAAATCACACTTGCACGTTGAAATGGAAATATGGATGAATATACTACCAGACTACCAGACTACCAGACTACCAGACTACCAGACTACCAGACTACCAGACTACCAGACTACCAGACTACTAAAAAGCTGCCCATATACAATACTGAATGGGGAAATTACTGAATGAGTGACCGCGATATCATTTATATCTCTCAAAGAAGCTGCAATCTGGCTCTGATAAACCTGGCTTTACATGCATCTACATATTTTAGTGCCTTCAAAAATTGACATAACTGGTCGCACCATGACCCACTTAGATATGTACTATTTTATCAGTGTCGAAAGGATGTCTCCTTCGTCGCTCGTCCTAGTTAATGATTACTTTACTAGTTATTGATTGATAGGCTACCATCATCTGACTATATTTAATTTCAATTTGATCACCAATAACACATCAACACGCACTGTATTTGTAAATTTTATTTTCTATCTACCTTGTCGAAGTAAAACACACCATTCTGACAGGTCTCTGTGACGTGAAACTGACATGGATGTTTTTTTTAGAATACAGCAAATCTGACAATAATATGAACTGCTATAATTGGGCGACTACAATAAAAGCGTATGGACACTCTCTACACCCCACATACGTCGCAGATTCATCATGAATTTTAAGAAAGTGATATTCTAAAACACGTACACTGACAACTTGGGTTTTTCTCTCATTTATTCTGATACACCCCCAAAAAATAATGACAATTTCCCAGCGGGTGGAAAGAATACATCGCAACAGCAGGGAGCATTCAATCCTTTCACAACATGTCAATAAATACACAAACAGAATCACCAAAAGCTGACAATGTCATTGTTGACATCTTTCTGGCTATCTATTTTTGTGAATCGACATGGTGTTGATTACAGCCTCGATTTACCAGCAACAATTTTCCCGAATGATATTTCGTCTAACGGTGAATAAGTGTTTGCATTTAAATCGATGAAATACATAGGCTCCTTTACTTTATTGGGGTCAAATCCTTCGCGAACCAGGTCTCCTTTCTTATATTTGTAGGTACCCGTCGTTTCAAGGGTTTTCATCACCCTCAAAAATCTCGGGCATGCGTACAGCGGCAGGGAGGAAGTGATGTAGTCATAAAACTCTTTCAATCTGAAAACTTGATCATCCTCTAATATTATGGCGGCCATTCCAGCTCGTCCGTCTTGGCCTGTGAAACATACAGTAATTATATTCAATATCTGTCAGGTTTGTGTTATTTTTAATGTTTATAATACTCTGAATATGATTGCAACGCTTGTACTTTAGTATAAAAAATCTATCTATTCATAATCTCTGAATACTAGTAAGTAATCAACTCTATCATTTTGAATTTGCGCATGCGCATTAAATTATATTAGATATATAATTATAAATCTGTATGTATTGTATCCACAACCAACTTACCGGGTACCTTTACGCCATATACATTTGCTTCCTTGATGTCGGGAAACAATGTGACAATCTCCGACACCTCTGTAGTGGCAACATTTTCACCCTTCCATCTATTAGTCAGAAGAAAAAAACAGTGGAAAGATTTCTTTGTCTGGAAAGTGTGTGTGCAGAGACATACGTCTGTAACAAAGACAATTAATACGACTAGTAAACATACTGTGTGGGCTCATACGACTACTACACATACTGTGGTGGTTTATATGGGGTTCATATGACTAGTACACACACTATGTGGGCTCATATGGGGTTCATACGACTACTACACATACTGTGTGGGTTCATATGGGGTCCATACGACTAGTACACACACTATGGGGGTTCATATGACTATGTGGGTTCATATGGGATTCATATGATTACTACACATACTGCGTGGGTTCATATAGGGGTTCATACGACTAGTACACATACCATGTGGATTCATATGAGGTTTTCATACGACTTCTACACATGCTGCGTAGAATCATATGGGGTTCATACGATTAGTACACACATTGTGTGGGTTCATATGACTACTACACTCACTGTGGTGGTTTATACGGGGTTCATACGACTAGTACACACACTATGTAGGTTCATATATGGGGGGTTCATACGACAACTACACATACTGTGTGGGTTCATATGGGGTTCATATGACTAGTACACATGCTACGTAGATTCATGTGGTGTTCATACGACTAGTTCACATACATGGATTCATATATGGGTTTTCATACGACTAGTACACACACTGCATAGGTTCATATGTTTTTATGGCTAGCACATATACTGTGTAGATTCATATGGGGTTTTCATACGACTAATGCACATGCTGCGTAGATTCATATGGGATTTCTACACAACTAGTACACAT